GCTCCGTGCTGGCATGAGCAGAGGTCACTCAGTTCTAGCCACCCAGGCCATAGTAAGGCAGTGGCCATCACAGTCTGTGCTGCCCAGGCACAGAAGTGATAGCTCATCTGATTGGCCACATCGTGCTGGTCCGAAGCCACCAGTCACCCCCAAGGGGGCGACTGCACGTGGCTGGGGGCACCCAGGATCCAGGGTCACTGGTTCCACAAGCTCAGAAAGCTGCTGTGGGCTGCATCAGTGGAGAGGGTGTAAGATGACAGGGAGAGGACAGTGCCTCTTCCTGGGTAGGGAGGACGGGCTGAGAGGTCCACAGAGCCTTCTGTGCCTGTGGGGGACGGGACCTGCTCTTTCCAGAAAAGCCAGAACCCAGTGGGGTGCAGAGTGAAGGAGCAGGGTCCTTCTTGATCATCACGCTGACCATCAGAGCCCCCGGGTCACTGTGTCTGTCCAATGAGAGACACAGATGCCCCGTAAGTTTACACAGCCTCTCGTGAAGCCTGGCTGGTCTTTGCTAACCACCGCTTCCCCCACCCGCTTTGCTTTTCTTCCAGACCTTCCGCTCTGTGAAGAAGCGAGTGGGTCTGCACAAGTGAGGCCAGCTCCATGTATCCGGAATCCACCACGGGCTCTCCGGCTCGGCTCTCCCTGCGTCAGACAGGCTCCCCCGGGATGATCTACAGGTAACCCCACTGTCCACCCACACCCCTTCCCAAGACCAGGCCTGCCTGAGAAGGGTCCCCAAAACCACTGCCCCCACCCCAGGAGGCTGGAAGGACTAAGTGGGCATGTGGGGCTGCGCAGTGCACACCCATGAGCATTCACGCCAAGGGAGAACCAAACGTTTGAAAGCCAAAGTGGGAAGAAAAAAAAGCAAAATTTTCTGGGTGGCACTCAGCCAGCATAGACTCTTCTGGTTCCGCACTCTTCCAACATATGTGGCGGGCACAACTGGGCGCAAGGGCCCTCCCGGCTTCCGTTTCTTGCACTTTGCACGCCCTGCTCATGTGGCTTTTGGCCCCGTCCCCCAGTGCCCTGAACAGGGCTCATGACCTCTCAGCCCCTTGGGGAGCCGCATCTGGCCATTTCCCAGTAAGCAGGCACAGCCGGCCGCTCACAGAACGCCCCCGACCTCCTCCTGGTGCAGGCCACCTCCAAGCCCAGCCTTGGACGTCTGTGCCCAGTGGCAGCCTTGCACCAGGCCCAGTCTGCAGGGGGCGCTAATGAGACCTGCCCTCGCCCTGCATTTGTCAGTCCTTTCTAGATTGGTAGGGCCCTTGTCTGTGGGAACCTGGAAAAAGGACATCTGTCCTGAGAAGGGGTCAGGAGTCAGCACCTGCCACACCAGGTACAGCTGGCGGCCCATCTGGGCGGGCCATTGTTCTAAAGCATGCCAAATGTGACACTGAGGGGCCTGTTCCCAGGCACCGTCACACCCAGACAGGGCTCACCCAGAGGGTTCTGTAGGAAAGAAGGCCCTGCAGACTCGGTGCCCAGACTTCTTCCTCCGTGGCCACTGGGTGGCACTGCTGCCCTTGTGCCTGGCCCCACATCCTGGTGACGCCAGCCATGAGGGTGGGGATGCAGGGGCCGCGGGAAGCCGACGATGCCTTCTGAGCTGGCACCTGCCTGAGGGTGACACCAGTTGTGGACTGTCTCTCTTCTCTCCTCTTTTTTCTCTTCCCTCCATTGCTGTCCGAAGTACTCGGTATGGGAGTCCCAAAAGACAGCTCCAGTTTTACAGGTAATGAGTCCTTCATTTCCCCCCACCCCAGCAGACAGGAGTGGGTGGGAGGAGTGAGCCCCTCTGGTCTGGGGAGCTGGTGTTTCCGTGTAGCACTCAGGCTCGGCCACCTCTCTCAGTGCCTCCCGCAGAGCAGCCGTGTGTCCTGTCCTGGTGGGAATGTGCGGTCGGGGTGATGCACAGTGGCCAGCTCAAGCTCTGCTGTGACTTGGGCACGTGGCCTTCTGATGGCAGCTTAGCACTCAGCCACAGGCACCAGCAGGACCTCGAGTGCCCAGCCATGGCTGGGCTGCGTCCCTGTGGCCACAGGTCTGGGCTTCCTTGCTTACCACAGTACGGCTCCATGGTGAGCTGTCTATTCCTCGTTTGCCTATGGATTTGGGCCAACGTGTAGCTAACAGGGTCCCCGGGTTGGTGGAAGTTAACAGCTCCGTGGTAGGCGCGCATGGCACCCAGGAGGCCCGGGGCGGCGTCATGGTGGATGCAGGTTCTCTCTCTGTTGCACTTCCCTGCTGGCAAGTTAGAAGTGTGCATTTGCCCACCTGGCAAGAGACCTGCCCAGTGGGGTGCGGCCTCTAGAGCCCCAGGTGCAGGCCCAGAGAGTCCTCTCGGCCCGCCCGTCTCCCTCTGGCCCACCTCTCCTTCTCCTGTGAAGCAGGGAGTGCACCAAGAAGATGCAATCTGCCCGGACAGCCTCCAGGGCCAGGAAGTACAGTGGTGGGGTCTGCCTGGGGCTATGGGAGCACCCCAGCTCTGGGTGGCAGGTCCCTGTGCGAGCTGCCGCGTTCTGGCACTGAGCCAGGCCACAGAACAGTGCACCCGCACTGGGAGCGTCTGTGGCTTGTGTCTGACAGCGCTGGCTGGCGCTGCATTTCCACATGACCTGCTCCTCCCCTTGGCCTTGCACATGAGTGTGGCCGTGGCCTGGGCGCACGGGCTAGTTTGCCTGCCTGCTGTGGCACCTCCGGTGGGTCCTGCACCTCCAGGGAGACAGCTAACTCTGGCTCTGCTGACGTTTTGACTCTATACCTTCTCACCAAGTGGCCAGATCTGGAGCTGGGATGCAGGCAGCATGCAAATCCTTTGTGGAGAGTGTGTGGTGCTCATCCCAGAGGATGCAACCAGGGACTCCAGATGTGCCCCTGAATCGCAGCCTCGAGAACCTGGGCCGCCCCTGTCTGGATGAGGAGGGAGGCCAGAGCAGTGGGCAGAAAGGGCCCGGGTGCTGACCTGCAGCTCGGAGGGGCTGAGTGCTTTGGGGTGAGTTTCCCACACAACTCACTGCCCTCAGAAGCCCAGGGCTCTGGGTGGGCCCTGTTGCCCACCCCTGGGGAGCACCCTTACCCTTGCCAGGCTTTCCTGCCTGAGAGCCAAGCCCAAAGGCCTCCCTCCTGGCCTCCCAGCTCTAAGGTCTGGTGTTTACAGTTTCCAGCCATCTCTCCCTGGGCCCCCAGTATGGTTTCTTCACGTGGACACTTGGGTGGGGCCTCTGACAATGACAATTTTTCAGCGCTGAGACCTCTTTCACAAATCGGGTGCCACTCCCACTGGCACTAAACATGGCCTCAGGGAGCTGCTTAGGTTATGTGAGGTGGTCCTCTGATGGGCAGAGATATCCAGGTGCATGTCCTGCCCTCATGCAGCTCCCAGACTAGGAAGGCAGTAAGACCTTGTAGCAGTCAGCTCTGCACAAAGTGCTGCCAATCAAGCAGCCCCAAGACTCAGTGCTCCGTGACCGTTAGCATTTCTTGCTTGCTTGCAGCCGAAGTCTGGCTAGGATGAGCTCTGCTGGGATGGGATGGGCCAGGGCTGTCTCCAAACTGTAGGGAGGCTTAAATAGTATTTAGTTTGGTGTCATTCTTGACCAGAGGACGAGCAGAGATGTGCCACTTCTCTTAGTACCAATGAGGAAGCAGAGCACCGTGATTTCTGCCTCACAGCCTTTTAGCCAAAGTGAGAGTCATGACCACACGCAAAGCCAAAGGGCAAGAAGATAAACCCTACACTCATGGGGGGAAGTGGCGTCGCCTGGCAGAGTTCACACAGCACGTGAAGGCTTGGGGACAGTATTGCGTCCACCCCAGAGTGGCACCACAACTCCAGTCATGTCAAGAAGGCAAAGCCCCCAGCACCGCAGGTGTAGTCATGGAAGCTCAGAGTCGGAGGGGGCCTTGTGGGTGGATGGCAGGACTGCAGACAAGGCGGCCCCCACGTGGAGGGGTGCACAGAGCGCAGGAGTCAGCGTCCTCGCAGACTGGGCCACCAGGGACACGAGGACATGGCAGAGGCAAGCAAGAGGCCAGACTGCAGAGATGGATCAGGTCCTCGTGGTAGATGGCCGGCGAGCAGGAAGTCAGGGCGGCGCGTAATTGGGCTCATCATACAGCCGCCTGCTGGTGCCGGGACCTGGGCCCCAGGAGGGCAGCCCCAGTGTCCTCTGGCCACCCTTAGAGGTCCACACTTCTGACATTACCCCCTGCAACCAAGCCTTGGACACAAACCCCTGGGGATGCACACAAACCCTGCCTAGGTGTCCCAGCAAACTTAGCCTTCGGGGTGAAAGCCACCCCAGGGTGCGCACCGAGCCTTTGCCAGTACCACCCCACTGCCAGGCACCTCAGATTCCTTGTTCCCTCTATCCCGTTCTCCTCATCTGGAGCACCAATTTCCTGTTCTGTCACCCCCATGGTGACAGACAGGTCAGCCTCCCCCCGGACTCCACCAGGCATTGGAGTGGTGGTCTCCGTAGCTGCAAGAGGAGACTTCCCTGGCACCCAGGTCGCCACCTCAGGGCCAGGACTGGAGTGGTCTCGAAGCTTCCCCTAATCCCCAGCTCAGCACCTTGCGACAGGAAGGGCTGCTCTGGCCCTGCCCGGAGACAGTGGCCATGTGGTGTCCAAGCAGCAGATTTCTAGAATCTTCCAGCTATGAGTGCTTCCTGGCAGCACAGGATATAGCAGCAAGGGCACGGCATCCTTATGTGCTGGGGGGGGGGGCTTGCCAGACCCCTGCTCCTTTGTCGTGGGTGGTGGTCACATGCTTCGGGAACCCCAACCACCCGGATGCAGACACAGATTGCAAGGGGGGAGCTCTGTCCCACATTTGAATGACAAATAGTGCAGCTGACCTCTTTCTACCTGTGGCTGAGAGGGGCAGTAGAGGCAGTGAGAGGCCAGAAACACAGCACTCCCACACCCTCGGGCTGCACCCCAGCCTGGCCTCCCAGGAGCTGGCAGTGCCAGGCTGCGCCGCGGAGCTCACTGCCCAAGCTTTTAGGGGAAGTGGAGCTTGTGAATAATTCAGCCTCTCGCTGAGATGAAAACGCCCTAATAGAGCTAATGGACTTGCTGCCTCCAGAGTGGACCGTTGAGGGACTCGCCTCATTCACCAATTGCCGCTGACGCTCCGCAGCGACACTCCCTAACGACATAGCCACTGCGCTGGATCCTTAGATCCCTACTAACCAGCCTGTGGCCTTTTTAACGCACAGCCACCCTCGGAGGCAGGTGAGTCGTCCCTTCAGCCCAGGACTGGACTTGGCAGCTGCCCTCCCTCTCGGGGAGCCGCTGCCTGGGGCTCATGTCCCGTGGAATTCAAATAACACCTGGGATGGTGCTATTTGGTGGTCGCTTCAGACCGATCTGAGTGAGATAGCAGACGACTTCAGAGTGCACAGGCTGGGGCAGACCTGGATGGTGGGGGGTGGTCCGGCTTGCGCCTGGCAGCACCTGCCACCTGGGGTTCCCATGCTTGCGTCTGCTTGCTGCTGCCCCTTCCTGTCTGTGAAGACCCCAGCGTCGCTTACGCCTTGCAGGGCACACGCTGAGATCGGCATTTCCGCGCCTAGCGGTGGTGGGGGAGCTCGGTGCCGCCGGGAGGGTCCGTGTGGGCAGCCTGGGGCGTGCGGGCGCTTGTCTGTGCCCCGCCTTGCTGATGGCTCTTCTCACTATGCCAGTGGGAGGCTGTGCGTGCCTGGGTGGCTGCGCCTCTCCACTTGCACTCAGGAGCACCCAGGCCGCTGTCTGGTCTCTAGACAGATGTCGCTGTCCATCCGAGTCGCGGGCTTCCTTCTCAGCCTGCGCCGTTGTGCTGTGGTGGCTATCGGTAGACAGACCCCGGTTCAGAAATTCCAGATGGAGGCGAGGCTGAGAGGAGCAGCGGTTCCTTCTGGCTTAATGAGGTTAGCAGCAGCGGCGCCTCATCTTCCCGGGCCGTGGTGTTAATTCACATGAATTCCCCTGAGCCCCCCAGCTGACGAGAATAGATTTGCCAAAGGCAGGCCAGGTGCAGCAGAGAAGGGCTTTTGGGCACTTCGTGGTTAACACTGGCTACTGAGGAGAGTGGGGTACAGGTGAAGATGGAGCCGAGGAGCGGTCTCCCGGACAGTGGCCTCCTGGACAGTGGCCTCCCAGACAGTGGCCTCCCAGACAGTGGCTGGGATGGCTGGAGTCTGAGCCCCTAGGATGCTATACTTTTTTCTTTTTCTTCAGTACTGGGGATTGGACCCAGGGACTTTGCACTGAGCTACAGCCCCAGCCTCTTTGTGTTTTACTTTGAGACAGAGGGTCTTGCTAAGTCACTGGCTTGCCCCGGCTAGGTTTGAACTTTCATCCTCCTGCCTCAGTCTCACTGCACTTTGAAACTCAGAAGTGGAAGACTCAGGGCTTGAGCCATAGCGTAGGCTTCCCTCCCCTTCCCGGCAATATCTGACCTGGGCCTTGTGTCCAACAAGCCCACTCCGCTGGTCCCCCCTGCCCCAGGGAGAGAGTCAGGGAACTGGGGTGTGTCCTCCACACCCACATAGTCCCCGAAGCTCGTGAGTGTAAGGGTCCCTGTGCTGTCTGCCATGCCTGTCCGTCCACACACACCCCCTGCTCCCCAGAGTCCTGCCTGCCTGTGGACTGCTCCTGGGCCCAGGTCTCTGCTCCTCCTTTTCACCCACTGTCACAGGCTGCCACGCCCACCCTCTTCTCTGCCCACCAGCCCCTGGTGCCACCCTCCAGCAGGAGGCTCTGGGTCCCCTATGTCACAGTGTCCCCACCTCACAGCCCACTCCCAGGGCCTTGCCACATCATACGCAGGGAGACCACCCGCTGTGCAGGTTCTGGGGGAGAGGTGATCATCAGCATTTCTTTCGTCCCAGGAGACATTTCCAGGGCTCTCTGGTGTCTGCCTGGCTCCTTTGGCTTGTGCCAGCCTGGTGTCCCCTCCCACCCAGCTATGGTCTCCTCTATGTGGGGGGCTTCTACCATAGCCACACCTCCGGTGCAAGCCCGCCACCCTGTGCCGTGCTCCTGCTGTGCTGTACCTGCCCTACCTGCCCCTCGACCTGCCCCTCTCTTGCAACCCGAGGTGGCCCAGGAGACCGGAGCCTGGAGCAGTGCAGGACCTCCTGGGTGACAATGAGTGTGTGGCAGCCAGGGCTGCCCTGTCCCAGGCCCGGAAACCTCGCCCTGCTTGCTGTCTTTCCCCAGGGACTTGGCTGTATTTCCAGGGCAAAGCCAGACCTGGCTCGCTGGGAGTGGCTGGCGTCTTGAAAGCTAATGGCTATCGATCTCTGCCTGGCCAGGCTGGCTGGGCCGATGCGCGTCTGAGGCAGGACTGCTTTGGGGAAGAGCTCAGGGATACAGCTACTTCAAGGAATGGGAGCTGGCCACCAGCCGTGCAGCCACCGGGGAAGGAACTGCTGGGTGCCACCCTATGTGCCCAGGAGGGAGTGGCGCTAGGCCTACTGCTTATGGGCCTCTGGCCTCAGATCCTCCCACAAACCTCACCCAAGACCAAGTCCCCTTCCACCTCCCTGCCGAGTCCTTTGGGAGTGGGGCAGCCCTGCCTGCATCGGCACCCAGAAGCCCTGCACACCCCCACCTGGGGCATGGCCCTCAGGGGCTATGTGCCCTGGGATGGAGCCACGCAGTTCCAGGTGGAGAGACAGTGGCCTGGACACAGCTGCCAGCCCTGAGCTGGGGAACACCCACTGCAGCCCTGCCTGGCCTTTTGCATCCCCACTGTGGGTACCGTGGGCACTTCTGGGTGCACAAGAGGGGACAGAAGTTCCCTGCCCTGCAAACAAGACAGCATCCCAAGAGCCAGTGTGATAATTGGGACAATGTTAGTGGACGAGGAGCGCCACCACAGGAGGGGGACCTCATGGTCCTGCCCCGGAGCTGGGTCCCGGGCCCATGCAGGGCAGCTCCCCATAGAGCCCACCCACACATCCATTGTCTCTTGGAGTACCTTTCCCCCCACCTCAATGGCACAGCCAGTGCCAGTCAGTGTTTCCAGCACTGCCCAGAGCCAGGCCCCATCGTGGAAGCAGAGCAGACGTGCCAGTCCCTGTGAGCAAGAGTCTCCCAGGAGGACACTTGCAGGAAGCCTCTGTGGAAAGGGCAGTTCAGGGTGGGGGAGGGTTCCCAGCTGTTAGGGATCACCAGGCTGGCTGTGCTCTGGAAGGAGCTGGCGCCAAGCTCATCTCAGACTCCCACCCTTGTGGGCCCTTCCTCAACTGTGGAGAAGCTGGGCAGGCCAACCCGTGCAGCTGAACCGAGGAAGACGCTAGTCTAAGGCAATGCCAGGGGACCACAACCCCACCCCTAAGGCCCACGCAGACACAGAACTTCTGCAGCTGTGCCCAGGAAGAGCGTCTTCCCCTAGAGCGAAGCTGAGGCCTGAGGACCCCCTCCCACCTCCCAGAGCCTCACTCCAGGACCCTATCCTGCAGCCAGCCCAGTTGAAATGGGGACATCCTGTCTGTACTTTTATGTGTCCATGCCAGAGCCTCAGGGCAGCATCTGGACACACAGGGGCTTTGCCCAGGTGGCATGTGGAGCCTGGGGTGCAGAGCTCTTCTGTGCTGTGCCTGCCAGGGGTCCTTGCTGCCCAGTCACAGATGCAGGAGGTGGGGACACCCACCACCACACCTCATTGACCTACTCTCTGTTACATACATGCATTAATGCCAACAGCAGCTCTCTGCACACGTGCCCTCTCTCCCTGCCTGTTTTTGCCCTCATCCCCACCTTTGGGGGCTGGCTGCATGACAGTCCATATTGGGGCACCCCATTCTGGACAGCTGCTCACTTTTTTTTGGTTTGGTTTTTTGTTCCACCGCGGTTTGATTCAGTAGGCAGTTGTGGCGGTGTTCTTGGGCTAGCTCACACAGGCAGCCAGCTAGAGCCTGTGGTTGTCCTTTGCAAAGCTGCACCACAAACTAAGGACATCAAGCAGATTGAGGGTCCTTTCTGCCCCCTCAAGCCTCCACACTGTTCTGCTCTATGGATGGACTGCCATTCGAGCCATGGCCTGGAGAGCCACTTATGATGGTGTTGGCTTCAGTCATGGTATTCGTTGTTTAGGATAAGGATGTAGCAGTGGTTCTTAACACAGAATCTTTGAAATCTCCCGATCCCAGTCTCACTTGCTTCCTCGAGCTCCCACAGAGCCCCCCTCCTGCTCAGGGTTTCGACTGAAAAACTCTGTGGATCGTGGTGCCCTTGCTGTGTCTGACAATCGAGAATGCTGTGTGAGTAGCGCTTCCCTCCACAGGGCCGCTGGGGCAGCCCCTTGGTGTGTGGCAGAAGTGGCACATCACATGAATGCCTTGCGCTGCTTTCCCGGGGACAGCCCGCTGCTGGTGCTAATCTGGGAGCCATTTCAAAAGAGCAGTGTGTGGCAGCACCCTGGTCCCCACAGGGCAGCACCCTGGTCCCCAGCGCCTGGCATCTGTTTGGGGCTCGGGCTCTGCATGCTCCCCATGCTCCATTTCTACTGGAATTTTGGGGTCACAGCACTCCCGTCTGCAACGCAGCTTGACCTGTGCTTGTCTCAGGGGCTCGGGTGAAGGGCGACTTGGCTCCCAGCAGGCTCCTCTTTAAGGACAGAGAATCTCATGCCAAGGGGTGTTTCCATCCAGGGGCCACTCCAACCCCAGACACCAAGACTTCTCGGTTCAGCTCTCCTTGGAGGTTGTCTCACTGGACCGGCAGGCCAGCCTGGGACTCAAGGGGCTCTGAGCACTCAGCGTTTCCCAGCTGGACAGCGGCAGTTTGCAGGCCAGCCGGCACCATGTTGTCCATGACGTACAGCGAGAGCCTGCGGAGTGTGAGCAGCAGGTGTCACTCGGACTGGGCCCTGCACCCCGTCCGCCAGACGGACACGTTGGAGCTGCAGCGGCTGCGGGAGGTGCGGGCAGCTGCCCAGGCCAGGAACATGGAGAGCTTCCTCCGCATGCACGGCCTCTCCCTGGACAGCTGCACCGCCCAACGCACAGGCATGAAGTATCGGTAAGGGCCAGGCATGGGGAGAGGGCAGGGAGTCCCGCCACATGCAGGAGCCCTGCAGCCAGGCACTGCCTAGCACAGGACGCAGCTTGCGAAACACCAGTGACAGTTGTGTTGTTTGAGGTTAAAGCTTAAATTTATTACAGTGAAAGACATGTTGGCATTCATCCCTGAACAACGTTCTTCCTCGTACATCCAACACACTTCTCCCGTCCACCTTGCCGCTTTCTGAAAGTTCTCTCCTGTGAGTGTCTTTGGTTCGCCTCCATGTCTTGACTTGACTTGAAGTACTGACCCGTCCTGATACGTTTGACTTTGGGGGATGAGTTCTGTGCTGCCGGATATGGTGACTAAAGTGGGTGGGGACGCGGTGTCATGCTTTTACCAGCCTGCCTCTCACTCTGCAGCAGATGTGCTCACGCACTTTTGTTCACACTTTATAAAGACACAAATGAGGACCACAAAATTACTTCACAGATTGGCAGGAGTGTTAGGATCAGTGTGTCGGAAGGGAAGGGCAGTGTTCTGAAGGGAATCAATGGTAATATGTCTCTTACTCTAATAATTTTATTTAAATATACAGCATATATTTGATCACCCCATGTATACTAGTGTAAATATTTTCTGTTTTGAAAATCTCAGCCACATAGAAATGTATCAAGGAAAAAAACCAAAAGCCTGCCACAGTCATAGCTGTCCAAAGATAGCACTGTTAAGAGTTTGGTATTTTCTCCCGGGGAGGGTGGGGAAGGACAGGGAGGATTTGTCTCTTACAACTTCACTGGAACAAATTAGTCATTAGGGGTTGACTAAACATGAATTGGTGAAATCATCAACTCTTCATCTCTAATAACAAATCCATTCTGGCATCAAAAACCCAGTGGGATTCTGGGGACAAGGAAGTGTTTCCCTCCTTTCTGTCCTCGGAGTGGCTGTCCCTGTGGAAGCTGTTTTCCAGCTGGCATCTTCTGTATTAGTTGCACCAGGCTGTTACCATGGCAGCAAAAGCTATGAACCAAGTGTCCTGCTTGTCCGGGCCCTAGGCTTGAGGTCTAAACCTTCTCAGAACCAAAGGCGCAATCTTGATTCAGCACCCGGGACAGCGCTCACAGAGGCCTTCTCTCCCTTGCTCCAAAGGCAAGAAGGCTGGCCGGCTGTTTATGAGTCCTTGTAGACTCCAAATATGCAGCGCCACACCATGGTCCTTTGAGGGTCAGCCCTTGTCAGAGCCAGTCAGCCAAAGGGGACCTCCTGGAGCCCATCCTTGCCAGATATAACGGTGCCAATTAAATAGGAGTTGTAGGTAGACAACAAGTACTCCTTCAGTGTAAACATGTCCCGCACAGTATTCAGGGGATTCGTATACTAAGAAGTTGTTCAGTTGTTCACTGCTTAGGTAAAGTTGAATTTTAATCTGGCATCCCATAATTGGTTGAGCAATCCGAAGCTGTGGCTTTCCCTGGGGTTGTGGGCTGCCCTGCGGGGAATAAGCGGAATCCAGAGCTGTGCCTCTCGTTGGCTTCTCCCGTGGACAGTGTTTCATTCTGCAGCCCATTGTTTGAACATGAAAGAAACAAGAGTTTTTCCAAAAGTCCATTAGATGGCAGAATTCTTAAGGATTTGCACCCTAAACCCAGCTAGCTGCAAAGGAGGGAGAATGGCTAGCCAGTTTGGCCACAGCAAATGCCTAATTCTGATGGACATTTCTCAAGAGGGAGACTGTGTGGTTGTTTTGTTGTGTTTGGGCTAGCCAGTGACGGACACCTTGCATTAAGAGGCTGCTTGGCAGCAAGGGTTAGGCTTGACCCTGGAGATGCAGCGTGAATAAAAGCAACAAGGACCCCACCCTCACAGCCACCACCTCCTGGTGAGGGGAGGCAGAGGAGAAGCAAGCACCCCAAAAACCACAGGTGTTCAAGGAGCATCACGCATCCCAAGGCACAAAGCAGGATGATGTGACAAGGAAAAGCCAGGTGGCAGGAAGACAGGTGTGTGAAGGTGACTTAAGGACTGAGCCATGGGTCAGGGAGTGAGAGGCCACAGGAAGCTGCAGGGGGACACTTGCTGGAGGAGATGACAGGAAGCCCACGTGGCTGGGCAGGTACAGCAGGACGGCATGTCGGGGCATGGGCAGGGAGGAGGTGGACCTTGTCTTCCAACTCTGGGAAGATTGAGGCACCCTCTGCTGTGGGTGGGACTCGTAGTTCCAGGCGTAGTGCGTCAACTCAGATGTTAGTGATTTTGGAGTGTCACACATGCTGAGTTCACCTGCCGGGGCCGGCCAGACTGCACATTTTGTTGTGTTTCCACAAAGGGGGAAGCTCACTGGTGCTTGGGAGATGTCTTCCCTGGATTCTCAGAGAACCACGGGATGCAGCGGCCAGTGCGGTTCCCTCAAAAGTGGGCCCTCCCCCACAGGCGCCATGTCCCTCCTAGTCTCCGGTGGCCCATTGGTCCCCTGGTCCCGTGTGCTGAAAGGCCCCTGGGTACCAAAGTGTGAAGACAGCAAGATGCCACCAGCCAACAATCCCCAGCCTATGGGCTCCGCTGGACACAGCAAGTTGGGGAAGGGTTACTTGGCATGAGTTGGTGCCAAAAGAGACTGGGAGAAACAGGAAGAAGCCCTGGAGGCTGTGGAGGAAGGTGGAGGGTGTGGACTTCCTTTGCTGAGATGTGACCCCCACACCATGCACCGTGCCCAATTTCGTGTACAGTTCAACAGTCTTAACTGAAAACCACCAGCGTCCATGTGAGGACATTTTCATCACCCTGAGAAGAAGCCCCAGACCCTTGTGTTACCGCTCCACGCCCCCCACCCTGGCAAACACTCCCCTACTTCCCATCTTGCAGACTTTCTCTGTCCTTAGTGCTTCGTATACATAAAACTGTGTGACGTGGACTTTCCTGATGGCTTCTTTCCGGGGGCGTTTTCCAGGTCTGTTGTGCGGCCACGTGCATCAGGACTTCATTCCTTGGGAGAGCTCAGTGGTGTTCCAGCACATCATAGACCCCCTTTTGTTTAGCCATTTGTCAGCTGATGGGCACTGAACTGTTCCTGCTTTGAGGCTGCTGGGAATAATGCTGCTGTGGACATTTGTTTTTTGTTTTTTGGGTTTTTTTAAGGTTTTTTTTTAATTAATTAATTTATTTATTTATTTGTTTTGTGTGTGTGTGTGTGTGTGTGTGTGTGTGTGTGGCCAGTTCAGCCCACCAGGGGGCGAGGCTGGCTGGCATGTGGTGCTGGGGATTGAACCTCGGTCCCTGTGCTTTTGCTTAGCTTAGCTTGTTCTAAGTAGGTGCTTTAGACCACTGAGCCATCTCACCAGCCCCTGCTGTGGACATTTGTGATGGAGCATTTGTGGGAGCACACTGTCACGTCCCCCGGTCGGTGTCTGGGTGCGGGGTTGCTGGCTGTGTGAAGAAGCAGACGAGACTCTGCTGCTTGTGACGCCCTTTTGCCCCAGCCTGCTTACCCCACGCCCCGTGGTTAGGGATGACCCTCGAGCAACACTGGGACCCCAGCCCTTGTGAGACCTCCCTATGAGCAGGCCCCAAAGAACGGAGCATGGAAGAGGAAGGTGGGGATCCTCGTCTCTGTAGGCTGACTGGGTCCACCCAAAGGGGCCAAGTGCCAGGACTCGGTGGGTAGCAAGCTGTTCAGTGTCCTGAACAGCTGAGGGCAGGCGGCTCTGCACGCAGTAGGTGCTCTGATCCTCTGTGAAGGAAAAAACATTACTGTTTCTCCAAGAGAGAAGCGGGGTGGAGGAAGATTCCTTGAGCTATTAGCCTGAACAGGTTCTATTTGGGTGCAGGCTTGGAAGCTAGAGTGCTGAGATCGATGACAAGGTTTTGTGTCAGGAGAGCCCTCCGGAGGGGAGGAGGCAGTGGCTCACCTCAGGCCCAGAAGAACCTGTGCCACGTGTGGCCCTTGACAGGTCTGCAATACAGAAATGACGGGGCCTTGTGGTCCCGGAGCCTTGGGCTCCCCAGCAGGAGCGGCTGAGCTGCACGGGGTCAGTGCAGGTGGCTCTGCTCTCCTTCTCCTGGGTGGCTTAGGGGCTCCACTGCCCCCACGGCCAGAACCCAGGCCCTGGGCCACGTGTGGGCACCCAGCAGGAGGAGCAGAGCTGGGCTTGAGCACGGCCCCCAGGGGTCCCACTGGCCTCCATAGGCTATGCCTGTTCACTGCCAGGGCAGCCTGGGCAAAGGCTGGAGCCCGCCCTCCCAGTCCCTGTGGCCAGGTCCCACCTGAGTGCTGGCTCTCCTGCTGCAATGGTGATGCTGGGGTGGCCCCCCAGG